GGGGAAGACGGAGAGAGGGGCGGGGCGATGCCAAAGGGAAGTTGCAAACTGTATATAACAATTGCATTCTGGGTACTTCCTTTTCTCTGGAAATGCCATTCAAGAGTTTGTTAAAATACTTTTAAATTCGTGTTAAATTCATATACTAAAGCTTGATGTTACGATAGCCGAAATGTGTGTGGTACATTTAAAAGGTTTTCTTGTGTATCACATTTTATTTAGAATTTAGGAAGAAAACAAAACTTTTACGGTGAGAGAGAACAGATATTTAGAAAAAAAATTTGGAATGAAAAAGGGTGTAATGCAGAAATCAATATTGATTTGATATTCATTCTAATTCATAATCATGTTGTTTTTTGCATAAACAGAAGTTTTACTAGCGCATCAGGCAATTTTTAAACATTTTTAGCAGAAGTTTAATAAATATTTATTTTGAAAATAAAATGGGAACTCTTTCGTCGCAATCATATTAAACGGTACAAAAATAGTTAAACATTTTTGTTCAGTATATGAAGTTTCCCAAAAATAAATACTCTAGCCTTCGTAATGCGAATACATGGTTGGGAGAAAATATTTATACATTGCATTTTTGGAGAGAGAACTAATGTTTTTGAAGTCCCGTGCGAAGAAATTCCTAAAATGACTATCTGAACGACAGTGTAGCACTTTAATACGTGCAGTGATTGCAGCAAATTAGAAAAGTACACGAAAGCCGTACAGCAATAACCGCGATCACCACATTCTATTGCCAAAGCCACATCCAAACGAGTTCCGTAAAAGGTTCACGCGTGTATTGCTTTTGCCGATAATATGATTACTTGTTTTAAAATGAATAATTCTGTACACGGAAATAAAGTAATGACATTTGCACACAGTAAATACAAACCCAGCATTCGTTTGGGAATTTCTATTGTAATACTGTTAAGGAAATGAGACTTGATTCTGTATTGTCAAATGAATAGTTAACTACAGTTTCGAACGTCTGTGATGTTATTACTAAAATTTCTCTCGCCATTGTTAACGAGTGTTTTCAGTCGGACTCGGTGCAAATAATTAGACTTTTCTCTGATTAGCGTGTGGATTTTGTGGATCAACCTCGGATGGTTGCCACAGAATGGCAGTTATTGCTCCACAAAATCTGATGTTCTTCCACAGTCGCTAGTACGAACTGAAGAAATTTAGAGCAACCGACTGGAAACTGTGGTTGTGTGAGAGAAAGAGGAAAACTAGCACTTGCATGTTTTTCTTTGTATATTATATAAAAAAACATCCTTAAGACAATTTTTGGATTCAATACATATTTTAAAATTATTGACTAACGTTTGGATCGTGAGAAAGGACTAAAGAGAACGGTTCTAAATATGAGCGTCTTCGTCTTTAAGCGAAGAGTTTTGTTGTAAACAATGCTTATGTCAGGATGAATGACGAACTAATGACGTTTCCCTTTCATTGGAAACAAGGAACTATTTCAAAATAGTAAAGGACGGCGTTAATAAGATAAACTATGTGACAAAATAGCTTTAATCACATATATCAATCTTATTAAACCTTCTCTGACAATCCCTCAGGTACTATATAGTTCTATTAAAATTCGAAGCTGCCGTCATATCTGTGTTATAAATTAGGGAAAAGACGAAATATACTGTATTTGGGTAATCCCGGTAAAGATAAAAATATTATTATGATTTAGTCGACTATTTCTGTATGAAACAATTGTCATAAATATGTAATAAAATGTTAAATGTGAAGACTAGCACTATTTATCTCGTAGAGCACTGTTCAGAGTAGATGCTATCTGTTGGCAAGCAATGCATTGAGGAGCGACCGTGTGGCTCAGGGCGTAACGCACTGACTTCACATTCGGGAGGCTCGGGTTCAATCTCCGTGCTGGCCGTATTGACCGAGGTTTCCCTCGGTCATCCAGGTGAATGCTAGGATGGTTCTACTGAAAGGCCATGTCCGCCAAACCAGCGTCGCTACCTAATTAGTTAATTACGTGAAGTCGCGAAAGTTATGCGAATTCGAGACATTGCGGGTTCCTGGTTGGTGACCGGCTAACGGGATGAAACGGCGTCGAGGCTAATTGCTCTTTATAAAGGGACATATAAAGGCCAAATCAAATACAAAACTTTAACACAACAAACTTTAACAATTGAACTTATTATGAAATATTGCGGATTCATCATGGTGGTCTATATTTAAGTGCCCTCTATACAGATACATTTTCAAAGGTATTAAATAAGTTTGTGGAAGATAACTATTATAATTTCTTCTAAAGTAAACACGTTTTGACCTAACCGCTATGTTTTGGAATCTTTGCCAGCGCCCTTGAACTGGGCGTGGCCCTTGCAAACGCTCTATTTCCTCGTTTTCCCATCCCAGAGCTCTCTAGGACGAATAAGAGCTAAATACAGACACAGTATTAATGCATTGGCGCACTCACCGCCTTCGGAGACGCAGGTGAGGGCGACGGTGGCGCCCTCGGGGAAGGGGCCGAGCGCGGGGCCGTCCAGCACGCGCCCGTCGCCGTCCAGCAGCGTCAGGCTCTGCGGCGGCACTGCAACACCCCGCCGCGCCGCGCCACGCCCCCTTCAAACCACGCCACACCCACACCACAGCGCAGGGCGTCAACTGCCTGGGGCATTAGGCCCCTAGATAGAGAGCATGCTTATCGCCGGAGGAGTCGGAAATCTTCCTCCGCTGGTCGGCGACCTACTCGTCAGATACTTGGATTTTCCCCAACCAAATGTCTCCCACTAGTGGGGCACCTGCGAGAACAAGTTGTAAGCTGTCGACTGGACACTCGACATCTGTGGTAGTGTAGAGCATGTAAGTGTAAATAATGCGTGAGAATAGGCCAAATAAGAGGAGGTACATATTTGCACGCGGTCCGTGGCCCGTTTGTTAGGGTACTGCTCCGACATTAACCTAGTATTGATCGGAGAAACCACGGAAATCTACCGATCAGAGCAGCCGGCCGCTTGAATTCTCCTCCAGACAGCGACTGAATTCGACCTAGCTAACAAGCTAGAATAGAAAATCCTGCCATCGTCGGGACTACAACCAAGGACTTCTCGGTCAGAGGTCATGCAGTTACACCAGTTGATGGAATGCAAGAAAAAATGGCGACCGAGAGAAGGATTATAGTATAGAAGAGGAGTCTGGAGGAGTGTTGACTGCATAGGTGACGGTATCGCGTCACGGTGGGAAAGAACAGCCTCAGCCGTCCCGAGGGCAAGCATGCGCACGCTCATAGCACGTGCCATGTTTGGGATGCCCTACAAAAGACGTCGTCATCTTACGCTCTCAGCGGCTGCTGCGGAAAGCGGTGACCACTCACGAGGGGGTGGCGGTTGCGGTGTAGCTCCTCGTAAGGCCGGGAGCATTGGAGTTTATCAAGACGGTTCAGGGATAAATGTTTTTTAACATTTATTTACAGTAACTCTGGTTATTAAACCCGCGGTAAGAGAAAGTATTCATAAATTTTTTTACAATAATTAACTTAAACACAAATGTTTTTTAATGATCCACA